ACTCTGGGAGCAGTAGTTGAACTAATTAAATATATGGCAATAGGCACACCAAAATTTTTTAACGTTTAATTGAAATATTCAAAGATTTATAATATATTATTGAATAATATTAAAAATAACACTGTGGATATTTAATATGTTTATTTAAAAATGAGAAATATTTGTATTTAATTTATTAATTACATTTTTTATGAATGACAAAGTAAATTTTCAATTATAAATCAAAAAAACTCAATTCAAAACGTTCAATAGTTTTTAACTATACTAATTTTTAGTTATAAAACTTATTTAATTTGCAGTAATTAATACAAATCACAATACTGATCACTAGTCTATAAACCTATTAAAGGTTAAAGTGCTGTTAAAATTATATGGTCCCAGCTTGTTCAAGTTCTGGGTACTGCTTTGAAAATTGGGAGGTATAGTTGAACGCTAAAATTTAATATAAAAATGATAGTTTATGTCTTTGCAAAAAATATGTATTATTTAGAAAAGACTATTTCATTGGGTGGTACAATTTTTTTCACTTACAATGATGATATACCGTTTTTTTTCAATGATTGTTCGGTTTACGGTTTAGTAACTTTTTCATGAAAAAAATAGCATCTATCAGCGATTCTTGACATGTCAACTTTAAAGTTAACAAAAATGTAATTGTTTTGATTTATAATTGAAAAAACTTACCAAAATCAATTACTGTATCATTGAATAATTATAAAATGCCCATATGACTCATAATATATATATACAGATTTTGTATTACAGCAATTCTAAAAGTCTGTTCAACTACTAGTCCCATTTTTAGAAGTGTTCAAGTACTGGGTACTTTACCTTAAGGACAAAAAATTCTTGAATCAAGTGAAATTTACTTTTTTTGGTTCATGAATTTTTCTCTTCAATCAAGTTGATTTTGAGATAAATTACTTGAAAATATAGTTAAAAAAAATGTTCAATAAATATTGCTTACCGGGATTTCAAGTACAGTTTTGAGAAAAAGGAGTTTAAAATTGTTGAACCTCTATTGGAAAAATGGAATTGAAAAAAAATTCCAAGAGCGTATAACCCTTTACAGCAAAAGCGTTTAAGATATATTGAATAATGGTTGTGCTAATGCAGTTCCGCAGGAAGATCGGTGCAAACTGTTCTGCCAAGTTGAAAGCAATCAGTACTACATGCTAAACGACACGGTGATCGATGGTACACCCTGCGGGCCTGACACCTTTGATATTTGCGTTAACGGGCATTGCAAACAGGCGGGCTGCGACCATGTTCTCGGGTCGAACGCCAAGTTGGACACATGTGGAGTTTGTCGCGGTGATAATTCTACATGTCAACGCATCACGGGGGCCTACAACTCCAGCGGGGTCTATGGCTACAGGAAAGTTACTAAGATTCCTAAGGGAAGTAGCTACATTGATATACGGCAGCTCGGATGGGGAGGCTCTCACAACGACAGCAACTATCTTGGTAAATCCATTATCATTATTTATATTTATATTTACTATTGATTTATCTCTTGAAGAGTGATTGATTGCTCAGTGAGACGTCAAACGAGTTCTATCCCAGCGCACAAATAATTAAAAAAATAAATATTTTATGACAGCTCTGAGGCTCGGCGAAGACGGAGAGTATATTCTTAATGGGAACTACATGGTGATGCACAAGAAAGTTATTGTTCTTCCTGGTAGCGCTATTGAATACAGCGGGCCTGGGACTGTGGTCGAGCGATTGAATAGTTCAAGGCCCGTCGGGGTTGATTTGATTCTTGAGGTGAGTGGAAATTGTTTTCCAGTCGTTGCGTTAATGGAATATTCTTGTTTCTTAGTTTTTAAACCCGTTCAAGGCTTGATCGTTGTTGTTTATTCATGCTTCGCTTATTTATAATTATGGTTATAGCTCCTTTTAATTTCGGCCACATAGTAATTTAAACAACCAACCAAGATTCATGATAAAGGAAAATAAAATATATATAATACAATTATTAATTACTAGCAACCTTGCAGTCACTGATAAATAAATTTGGCTTTATTAAATAATGACTTTTGGTAATATACACTATACTTTCTTAAATATTGACATTCTTAAAGATATAAGCTCATCCCGATGTTACACTCATCAAGAGCTTTCATTCGAATACCAACATGCATTTTGATATATTTTTCATATATACATATATATAATATATATAAATATATGAAAAATTGATGTGGGTACTCGAATGAAAGGTCTCGATGAATGTAATATCGGGGTGAGCTCATATCTTTAAAAATGTCAGTAGTTGACAAAATAGCGAAATTAGTTCTTAATTATTGACATTTTTAAAGATATAAACTCATCCCGATGTTACTCTCATCGAGAGCTTTCATTTGAGTACCCTCATCAATTTTTCATATATTTCATATATTTATATACATATGAATATATGAAAAATATATCAAAATGCATGTGGGTACTCAAATGAAAGGTCTTAATAAGTGTAATGTCGAGATGAGCTTATATCTTTAAGAATGTCAGTAGTTGGCAAGATACGAGGTAATTTCTTAATTATTGACATTTTCAAATATATAAGCTCACCTCGATAATACACTCATTGAGACCTTTCATTTGAGTACCCACATCAATTTTTTATATATTTTATATATTTATATATATGAATATATGGAAAATATATCAAAATGCATGTGGGTACTCAAATGAAGTCTCAATAAGTGTAATGTCGAGATGAGCTTATATCTTCAAAAATATCATTAGTTGACAAGATAGCAAAGTCAGTTCTGAATTATTAACATTTTCAAAGATATAAACTCATCCTGATGCTATACTCATCAAGAGCTTTCATTTGAGTACCCACTTGCATTTTCATATATTTTTCATATATAAATATATATATAATATATATAAATATATGAAAAATTGATGTGGGTACTCAAATAAAAGCTCTTGATGAGTGTAACATTGGGATGAGCTTATATCTTTAAAAATGTCAATAGTTCACAAGATACAAGGTAATTTCTTTTTTATGTATCTAGAGAGTATTTTCGAAACAGCCTAAATACTTATTACTATAAATTGACTATCAGTGAAAATTTTTTTATTCTTTTAATAATATAGATTTATACAATATTTTTAAATATAAACATTGTTTGATTTATTTATTTATTAATATTAATGAAAGAGCGATTGAACGTACCCAAGGTTTTAAAATAATCATTAATAGATGATTAAAACTTAACAGATTTTATCAGTCGGTGACATCGTTCCTCCTCAAATAACATACGAATATACAGTACCAAAAAGAATACTAGGCAGCTATACTTGGATTTTAAGCGATTGGTCATCATGTAGCCACATGTGCCAGGGTAATAAGCAGCGTCGCGCAGAATGCCGTAATACTGAGCATAAAGACGTCGTTTCTGATGATTATTGCCGACGAGAAGAAAGACCTCAGGAAGAGTCTCAATTATGTAATACGCATTGCATACTTCAGTAAGTGTCTTTTAACTGCCTGTCAGCATCCCACATCCGGCATAAATAATCTCAATAATAATAATACTGATCATAATTTTGAACAGTAAATATTAAGTAGCAAAAATTACCGACAATAAACATAATTTTAGATGGCAACTTACACCAAAATCAGAGTGTTCAAAACACTGTGGACCCGGAACACAAATGGTATCTAGTCGTTGCTTCCAAGTTATTTTGAATTCGCCCAATCAGTCGCCTAGACTGCTAAAAGATTACGCGTGTACCCATTTGGAACGTCCAAGTGATATTCGGCCTTGTGTAGGCCCCTGCGATGATGTTCGTTGGAGCTACAGTGATTGGGGCACTTGCAGTGTCACCTGTGGTGGAGGCGTTCAAATTCGTACGGCCAAGTGCATTGACTCTAATGGAGTTGAAGTTGCGGAAAGAACATGCAATGCTTCTGAAAAAATTCTCAAGCGTTTTTGTGGATCTGAAGCTTGTCCTCAATGGACATTTGGCGAATGGTCACCTGTAAGTTGATGAATTATTTTTCAAATGTTATTTTTTTTATTAATAATTAACTAGCAACCTTGCAGTCATTATGTGACTTGTGAACTATAAATAAGTGAAATTTTGTTTTATTAAATAATGAATTTTGTTAAATTGCACTGTACTTTATTAAATATTGACGTTTTTAAAGATATAAGCTCATCCCGATATTACACTCATCAAGAGCTTTCATTTGAGTACCCACATGCATTTTAATATATTTTTCATATATACATATATATAATATGTATAAATATATGAAAAATTGATGTGGGTACTCCAATGAAAGGTCTCAATGAGTGTAATGTCGGAATGAGCTTATATCTTTAAAAATGTCAATATTTCACAAGATACAAGGTAATTTCTTAATTACGTTAAATTGCACTGTACTTTCGTAACTATTGACATTTTTTTAAATATAAGCTCATCCCGATGTTACACTCATCAACACCTTTCATTTGAGTACCCACATCCGTTTTGATATGTCTTTCATATATACATATATATATATATATAATAATATATATAAATATATGAAAAATTGGTGTGGGTACTCAAATGAAAGCTCTTAATGAGTGTAACATCGAGATGAGCTTATATCTTTAAAAATGTAATTAGTTCACAAAATACAAGCTCGTTTTTTATTTACGTTAAATTACACTGTACTTTCTTAACTATTGACATTTTTAAAGATATAAGCTCACCCCAACATTACACTCATCGAGACCTTTCATTTGAGTACCTATATCAATTTTTCATATATTTATATATATATCATATATATGTTTATATGAAAAATATATCAAAATGCATGTGGGTACTCAAATAAAAGCT